AATTGTTCACAAGACTAGTAAGAAACTGTTGATAATTAATGGAGACAATTTTCTTGTTGCTTGTTATGGTAAGTCCTCCAAACTTCCCCTTTTCAATTGCCTTTTGAGCTTCTAAAGTTCTAGTGCCAGATTTCTCTTTTAGTCCATGCAATGACCTTATGCTCCGTTGAATCAGTTTGTCTGTATACACAATCAAAGTAGTGCATTTCTGTAGACACTCTGACAGTAAACCAAGTTCATACAACATGTCATACATTAGAGCTAAATCCAATAGAAACTGTTCTGAAGTTAGTTTTTTCAACAGATCTTCATAGGTTTTTCTATCACCTCCGAATCTTGTTTCATCTTTCACTGGTTTTTCAAAATGAAAACAAAAGTGTTTCATAATAATTCTACACTGCTGAAACTGTTGAAAACGAGCTGGCCTCTCCACCTGGTGCTCAGAACACGGACTATTTTGCAAATCTGTTGTTCAGGTTGAGAGGCACATTCAGATACTGTAGCTCCTTTTGATTTAGAGGCAATTTACTGTAAACTGAGTACAATTTGTCCATAAATGCTTGAAAATTATTAATTCCATGACCTTCTATCACTGAATCACCTACTGCAAGTTCTAATCTGTGATTAAGACAGAGCCAGATTATTATATCAGGGTAATGTTCCTTGAGAATTATTGCAACGCCAGATTTGACACCAAGCATGACACTTTCCCCATCACTAGCAAATGCTACAAGGTACTGTTTCAAATATAAGTCATCAAACCCATGATAATTGACACAGCTCAATAGATGCCTAGAAATAGTTGCTGCTTTCTGATCAGGTACTTTAATTAGATCTAAGAACATGAAATGGGGATTACCTTCCTCATCACTTTCACATTTCAAGTAAACTACAAAGGTTGTTTTAATGGCTTGTTTATTCATCGATGAGAACAGAAATTTTGCCACTTATCTGCTTGATATGTTTACAAATTATATTTTTCATATTAATTGCTATGGGATTAATTATCTCTGTGGCACTAGTGCAGGAATGCAGTCCCATTCCAATGTCAACACCATTTTGCTTTTGTAGTTCCAGTAAGCCAAAGTGATCAGAGTTTGGTCTGTCATTCTGAGCTAAATAATATGCAGAACACCAAGAGCAGGAGCATCACCAGCTTCCAAGAGCATCTTCACCAGCTACATTTTCAACACGTAAGCAGTAGATCAATGTAAGCTTTACAAGGTTTACGATCAACATTTTTTTTTTCTGAGAGATTTCAAGCATGTACATCTGCTCCATAATAGGATACTTGGTACATCTGCCACTCATTTGATGGTCTTAAACCATTAGAAGTGAAAAGTGTTACATTGTTTATGTTTGCACACACTTTACACCCAAGTTTATCTTCCCTGAAGTCTAACCATTTACGAATTTAATCCGTTCCCAGAGATGGGTTGTAGGCCGAAAATTCGCAACCCGTAACAAATTTTCCCCAATAAGAAATAATGTAAATTGAATTAATCAGTTCCACACTCTCAAAAATATTAACTTCAAAATACATTTCATACATAATACACACATATTTTGTACTATAGTATGTACAAGTTATAGCTTACCTTTATTGATGACTCTTGTTGACGTATGGAAGACGGTCTGGGGCTACCCTTTCCTCCTCCCGGGAGGGGGGGAGCTGCGCAGACAGCGGAGCGACGACGGGTGACGTCATACTAGTTTGCTCATTTTTGTTTGGGGAGTTCTATCCACTCGTTCGGCTTTGGTTGCAATTTTCACCAGAACAGGGGTTTGTTTTGGGACGCCAACCTTTCTGGGTGCCTAATCCGGTTGATGGCAGACATAGAATGCTTCCAATCACACGGGGGTTTCTATAGGCCATTGCTCCCCTTGCCTCTCTGAGGGGGCCAGGTTCTGGCTCGTGGTCCCCGGTAGGCCCATAAGAACTCCATACACATGACTGATGCCAAAGTCTGACATTAGCATATCAGCCTAGTAAGCTCTGAGGAGCTGTAGGGGCTCCCCCCCACCCCCCCCCCCCCCAGAAAAGCACAAAAACAATGAAATTCTTTATGAAGAATTCAAGTGTGATTGTCACTAAGCAAGCGGATCTGGTAAATTGAAGCGGGGTCACCCGTGCCACCAGGAACCACATGCTCGGTCAACCCATACGTGTATCAACAAAGTCGCAAGGCGCGGCAAAGATCTTGATCCGATTCAAATTTTCCAAAGAAATTGAGTTTGTAGCCCGAAAAATTCGTGAAGAGGGACATTTGTATCCCGAGGTGCCGCTGTACTTTCTGTACTGCACATGGATCCAGTTTGAAAATTTGAACTAGAAGCAGTCAAAACACAACTTTTGCCACATTCACTGTTATCATTATCAGTCTCCTGTACGTTATTCTTCTTACACTCCTCATTTTGTTTATGAACGAAGGAAGTCAACATTGTTTACTTAGAAGCCACGATGGAGTTGTTTGTGAGAAAAAATGCTTCTGTATTTGAGAGACATCCACAGACCACCAGCCACCACTTTACTAATGCCACTGAAATACAAAAGTAGAGTTGCCAACTCAGTATTTCACACGACGCTAGAACCACCCCAAAAAAGCACAAAATTATGTAAAGTTGTGTGTGTAGCAGTTTTGTCATTTTACCTGCCTAGTACAGTATTTAATACTAAAATATACTATTGTATGAATAAAGAATACCTGTCTAATGAACTACTGCTAAAGCCTTGAACATTATCGCTGAATACTGTATTCGTTTCCAAAGCGGTAGGTTGGCAACTTTGTTTCATATCGTTTGTCTCGCATAAATGGACAATAAGCATTCATGTGCGTCGGGTATTATGTTTCCAGATTCATACAAGTACAATTCAGCCTGTTTAGTTTTTAAATATATAAAAATTTAAATATTTAATCTTTAAAAAATCAAAGAAATATCATAATATTATTAACTTATTAGTGATGTAATACTAATATTTTCCTGCCATGATCAATCATCACCCACAAGCCATCATCTCCCTTTCCCTCATCCTCTCTCCCGTTCCCCCATTCCATTATCCACGAGCGGTGGTCCGGCGAGCTCTGGCAGCACTGCATCACTGGTGATAGCATAGCCTGAGTTTGCCATCAATTGTAGAGTATCTTTGTGATGATATCAACACCATCTGTGGAGTGAGGTGTGGCAATATTGACGCCATCTATGGATGTGCAACCCCAACCCAAAGGTTTTTAGGTATGACGAGGACAACGCCATCTGTTGGTAGAGGTATGGCAAGGTCAATGCCATCTGTGGAATGCTCCTGATCACAATTCATTTGTAAGATGGGTCGATGACAATGCCCTCTGGTGAGGGAGGTGGTGATATCAACGGCATCTGCTGCTTTCACCTTATCATATTTTCTGTTCCCCGGTGAAAGGCTGACATCATATGTTATTCTTGTGTACTTACTGTCTTGTTAATGACTTTTAAGTCCACAGAAGTGATGAGAAGGGTAAATTGGGCTCTAGAAGTCAGGTCACCCAGGGCAGTCCGGAACTCAAAACTTGTTCCAGCGAGAACAACTGGCTGTCATCGGTAGAGATAGTGCTTTGTCTATTATAAGCGTGACGTGTTATTGGTTGGACCGACGTACTCGGGATAGGCCAAGTGTAATTACGAGACAGCAGTACTGGTCGTCTGCTGAGGAGTTCTACTAGCTAATTGCAGGAGACATCTGTCAGGGTGTTGGTAGAGACCCCTGTCAATATGTTGCTGAAGACCTCTGCAGTGTGTTACTGGAGAGACGAAGTGAGGTGTTTCGGACACCCTGACGAAACGGTGTAGGACTGGCCCATGTTGTATTGAGTTAAGTGAACTCACCGGTGTAAGGGCCTTACATTGTGGATGTTATATACTAGAAGATGAAGTGAACTCACTGGGAACTGAAGAAGACTGCAAAATTTATTGTATTAGTGTCCTGTGTGAAAGTGATGTCTGCAGTGTGATGTGTACGGATATATGTATATGCAGTGGAACCTCGATTAACGAATTTAATCCGTTCCGGCATAGAGCTCGTCATGTGAAATGCTCGTCTTTCAAAACAAATTTCGTCATTTAAAATATTGGTAATAAAAATAATCCGTTCCACCACCGAAAAACATCAATATGATATTCAATTTTTTAAATAATGGAGCAGCCTACCTGACATACACTGAACAAACCTTTATGACATTTGTCCTTTTTTCAAATTTGTTCTATTTTTTTTTTTCATTTTTTTATAGCAAAAGGTTCGTTCGGTGTTTGTCAGGTAGGCTGCTCCATGTTTCTTAAAAAAAAAAAATGAAAAAATTTGAAAAACGGACAAATGTCATAAAGGTTCGTTCAGTGTTTGTCAGGTAGGATGCTCCATTATGACAATCTTTCTCGGGTTTCAAATGTGTTCAATTTGTTTTGTATTTTACATTTATTCATTAATAATGAGTCGCCTACCTGGCACACACTGAACGATCCTTTATGACATTTATCTGCTTTCAAATTTGTTCAATTTTTTTTCAAGAAACATGGAGCAGTCTACCTGACAAACACTGAACGAACCTTTTTGACTTTTGTTCTTTTTTTCAAATTTTTATATATTTTTTTATTCTACAAAAAATTCAATGCTTTGCAACATCACAGCAGTCACCCCATTACATACCAGCATCATTAGCATCTTTAAACAAAAAAATAATTGCATCATCGGAAGCGTCCGAGAATGTGCGAGAAGCAGCGGGAACGCACCGTGTGGTTTTCTCGTTAATCAAACGAGCATTCGCCAATCGAGACAAATTGTCGGCAATCGGCACACTAGTTATTCAAAATATTATAAGAAGTATAATTGGAAAGGGGCTGATTAGTATTGTTTATCCCTTTTAATTTTCACGATTACTTGTTACTGCCAATTCTTGATAACTTACTATTGATTTGGGGGAGGGATCAATGAAGAGGCGGCTCTAAGGCCCCCATATGCAGTGATTGAAATAAAGAACCCGGTTACTGCCTCAGTGAGGCCGTAACAGCCTTCTACCGTCAGTGGAAACATCAGAGACTCAGTGCTGGATGATATACTTAATCACCTAATAAAATATTGGCATAGCTAAATGTTCTTAACACAAATGGTGATGATTTTCCCCTAGCAAAATTAATGTAACATACCTCAGAATATCTCCTGGTGCGGACAATAAACTGCACAATTAACTTTTCTTCCTTATGTGAATATGGGCGTCGGTGACTTAAATTGTTATTAACCTTCGAGGTTGATTCTGAAAAAGACATAAAATGATAATTATGTAACTAAAATCAGTAATATTCATTAAACTGAAAAAAAGTAGAGAGCATCATGTCAAGTTTGTAGGAACACAAAGTTGCAGGTGATGTGAAGACACAGGACCTACACTGATGTAGTGGAACACAGGACCTACACTGATGTAGTGGAACACAGGACCTACACTGATGTAGTGGAACACAGGACCTACACTGATGTAGTGGAACACAGGACCTACACTGATGTAGTGGAACACAGGACCTACACTGATGTAGTGGAACACAGGACCTACACTGATATAGTGGAACACAGGACCTACACTGATGTAGTGGAACACAGGACCTACACTGATGTAGTGGAACACAAGACCTACACTGATGTAGTGGAACACAGGACCTACACTGATGTAGTGGAACACAGGACCTACACTGATGTAGTGGAACACAGGACCTACACTGATGTAGAGGAACACAGGACCTACACTGATGTAGAGGAACACAGGACCTACACTGATGTAGAGGAACACAAGACCTACACTGATGTAGTGGAACACAGGACCTACACTGATGTAGAGGAACACAAGACCTACACTGATGTAGAGGAACACAGGACCTACACTGATGTAGTGGAACACAAGACCTACACTGATGTAGTGGAACACAGGACCTACACTGATGTAGAGGAACACAAGACCTACACTGATGTAGAGGAACACAAGACCTACACTGATGTAGAGGAACACAGGACCTACACTGATGTAGAGGAACACAGGACCTACACTGATGTAGAGGAACACAAGACCTACACTGATGTAGTGGAACACAGGACCTACACTGATGTAGTGGAACACAGGACCTACACTGATGTAGAGGAACACAAGACCTACACTGATGTAGAGGAACACAGGACCTACACTGATGTAGAGGAACACAGGACCTACACTGATGTAGTGGAACACAAGACCTACACTGATGTCGTGGAACACAGGACCTACACTGATGTAGAGGAACACAAGACCTACACTGATGTAGAGGAACACAAGACCTACACTGATGTAGTGGAACACAGGACCTACACTGATGTAGTGGAACACAAGACCTACACTGATGTAGTGGAACACAGGACCTACACTGATGTAGAGGAACACAAGACCTACACTGATGTAGAGGAACACAAGACCTACACTGATGTAGAGGAACACAAGACCTACACTGATGTAGAGGAACACAAGACCTACACTGACGTAGTGGAACACAGGACCTACACTGATGTAGAGGAACACAAGACCTACACTGATGTAGAGGAACACAGGACCTACACTGATGTAGAGGAACACAGGACCTACACTGATGTAGAGGAACACAGGACCTACACTGATGTAGTGGAACACAAGACCTACACTGATGTAGTGGAACACAAGACCTACACTGATGTAGTGGAACACAGGACCTACACTGATGTAGAGGAACACAAGACCTACACTGATGTAGAGGAACACAAGACCTACACTGATGTAGTGGAACACAGGACCTACACTGATGTAGAGGAACACAAGACCTACACTGATGTAGTGGAACACAGGACCTACACTGATGTAGAGGAACACAAGACCTACACTGATGTAGAGGAACACAAGACCTACACTGAAGTAGTGGAACACAGGACCTACACTGATGTAGAGGAACACAAGACCTACACTGATGTAGAGGAACACAGGACCTACACTGATGTAGAGGAACACAGGACCTACACTGATGTAGAGGAACACAAGACCTACACTGATGTAGTAGTGGAACACAAGACCTACACTGATGTAGTGGAACACAGGACCTACACTGATGTAGAGGAACACAAGACCTACACTGATGTAGAGGAACACAAGACCTACACTGATGTGACCTACACTGATGTAGTGGAACACAGGACCTACACTGATGTAGTGGAACACAAGACCTACACTGATGTAGAGGAACACAAGACCTACACTGATGTAGAGGAACACAAGACCTACACTGATGTAGTGGAACACAAGACCTACACTGATGTAGTGGAACACAGGACCTACACTGATGTAGAGGAACACAAGACCTACACTGATGTAGAGGAACACAAGACCTACACTGATGTAGAGGAACACAAGACCTACACTGATGTAGAGGAACACAAGACCTACACTGATGTAGAGGAACACAAGACCTACACTGATGTAGAGGAACACAAGACCTACACTGATGTAGTGGAACACAGGACCTACACTGATGTAGAGGAACACAGGACCTACACTGATGTAGAGGAACACAAGACCTACACTGATGTAGAGGAACACAAGACCTACACTGATGTAGTGGAACACAGGACCTACACTGATGTAGAGGAACACAGGACCTACACTGATGTAGTGGAACACAGGACCTACACTGATGTAGAGGAACACAAGACCTACACTGATGTAGTGGAACACAAGACCTACACTGATGTAGTGGAACACAGGACCTACACTGATGTAGAGGAACACAAGACCTACACTGATGTAGAGGAACACAAGACCTACACTGATGTAGAGGAACACAAGACCTACACTGATGTAGAGGAACACAGGACCTACACTGATGTAGAGGAACACAAGACCTACACTGATGTAGAGGAACACAGGACCTACACTGATGTAGCGGAACACAAGACCTACACTGATGTAGAGGAACACAAGACCTACACTGATGTAGCGGAACACAAGACCTACACTGATGTAGAGGAACACAAGACCTACACTGATGTAGAAAAACATCATGATACAAGGAGATTTTATTTGCTGATAATAATTCACATTAAGATATTTATAAAACAAATTTAATTCATCCCTTACAGGCTAAATATTATTTATAGATAATATTTACTCTCAACTTGGTGCTTCTCTAAACTGATGTCAGCTCTCTGAGTTCCCATAAAACAATAACACCTACAACCATCCCATCTGTTGTTTCCCTGTTGATGCCTCTTCTATTCCAGCAGCCCAGTCAGAGACCAGCATCTTTTTTTAATTTTTTTATATATACTCTACTGTAACTTGATTAGTAAGGGTGTTAGTGGCAGATCTTGAAGATCCATATAGCCATCAAAACCCAGCTGATCTGGCCTTTTTGGCAGAAGTTTGTTTAATTCCCTCTTGAAAACTTCATCTTCTCTTCTGCCAATATTTCTAACATTTGCTGGAAGGAATCTAAACTGTTGTGGAACTCATATGCCAATGTAGTATTCTGTGACTGTGCTCATGGCACCTTTACTCTTCTCTGGGTCTATTTTACACATTCTACTTTATATTTACTTTCAGTAAGCTATCATTTGATTGTACAATTTGTGGATCAGACCCCATAAATATCTTCGATGTACATATTTTATGATGTCTATCTCATCTCTATTCCAGAAAATGGTCTGAGTGCTTTAAAATGGTTTCAATAATTTAAAAATTAAGTGTTTTTATTGTCTATGTGCTTACTGTTGTACGGAATCTCTATATGTATTCTATTTCAGATATCTTGCCTGCCTAGAAAGGGGAGGAGATTCTATTCCAGTATTCCAAGCAAGATACAATAGATGATGTGAGAAGTAGGATCACTGGAATGGTGATCTGTTTTGATGTCTCATGATCTACCCTATCATTTTCAAGACTGATGTGAAGTTTGCTTTGAAATGTTCATGGAAAGTTATGCCATCAGAAACTGTTCTATATCCCTTTACTTACTGTTTCCATCATAAGAAAAGGTTTGACTGGTCTTGTATACATAGTAACAAATTTACCCGTAACCTGCACTGATTGTAGACAGTAAGCTGAAGTGTAACTGGTGGAATGAGAAGGTCTCCAAAACTTAGTAAATAAGGTCAACTTAACTCAATAATTAATCAGTTGCTGTACAATGAAGAAGAATGTAACGTGGTTCTGGGTGAGTGTACCTCGTGTGGGGCGAGGTATTGCCACCTGATGATTTATGGAGGCGCGGAGGAACTTGATGACAATAGTGGTCACGATTGTAATGTAACTGGAACCCTACAATACTGTACCATACTTGAGTTTGTGAACACATCCTACACCTTCTCTTTATTCTGACTGAATAGATTCAGACTTAAGAATCCTACATGGGTCCTGTAGTCCTTTATGGCCCTAGTGTCTATATATATATATATATATATATATCTTGTCCTACTGAAATTGTAAAACTTTTAGGCACTTAGACATATTATGCCTAAGAGAGAGAGAGAGAGAGAGGTAGAATAACTAGCTTAGGAATCTACAAGTGATAAGAGTGAAATTGAGTAGAGTTTACCTGGGTGAAAAGGTATTCGAGCTTGTAAGCGCCTTACAATATCTTGTGAGAGGCCAAACTGCAGGTAGGTATGAAGGCGAGGAAATATTCTTTTTCTGAAACGCTCCTTCAAACCGTGCCAACTTCGATCTGAAAGAAACTAAACCATAAACACCATACTAATTCCCTCATGCATCTTACATCTCATAAAATACACAATAGACAAAACTACTGTTCTGCTCAATAAAGAATATTTCAAAACCACTACGACTATTTCAGAAATCTTTACAACTTCCTTCCCTATTTGTACGCAGCATATAAATTCCATCTTTATTGCAATTTTTTTTTTTTTTTTTTTTTTACAAAAGCTCATGAGAAACCCCTTATGAGACCTCTCTCACCACAATTCACTTGTGACGTGCACACGTCACCACTCCTCGGTCACTGTGTGTAACCACCACCATCACCACTCCACAATCACCACACTTCACCACACCTCAGTCACTGTGTGTAACCACCACCATCACCACTCCACAATCACCACATGTCACCACTCCACAATCACCACACCTCAGTCACTGTGTGTAACCACCACCATCACCACTCCACAATCACCACATGTAACCACCAGCATCACCACTCCACAATCACCACGTGTCACCACTCCACAATCACCACACATCACCACTCCTCAGTCACTGTGGGTAACCACCACCATCACCACTCCACAATCACCACACGTCACCACACCTCAGTGACTGTGGGTAACCACCACCATCACCACTCCACAATCACCACACGTCACCACACCTCAGTGACTGTGGGTAACCACCACCATCACCACTCCACAATCACCACACGTCACCACACCTCAGTGACTGTGGGTAACCACCACCATCACCACTCCACAATCACCACACGTCACCACTCCTCAGTCACTGGGTGTAACCACCACCATCACCACTCCACAATCACCACCATCACCACTCCACAATCACCACCATCACCACTCCACAATCACCACCATCACCACTCCACAATCACCACCATCACCACTCCACAATCACCACCATCACCACTCCACAATAACCACCATCACCACTCCACAATCACCACCATCACCACTCCACAATCACCACCATCACCACTCCACAATCACCACCATCACCACTCCACAATCACCACCATCACCACTCCACATATTCAATACATTAACTTTTTATAAAATATGTTTTTCTTTACTCTTAACAAAATACAGTAAATGAAAGCATAAGTTCAGCAGAATTATTAAACCAATTTTGTAAAATAATATTTTAGAACAAAATTCTACAATACAAATCAAATATATTTAAGACTAATTACATACAAAAATACTGTACTAGTAAACAATTGTTAATTGTTGCAAATACTCAGTTGTTCTTGTCAATGTGGATGTGACTGAACCATGTCCACCGACACTTTTCTGGTGGGGTTGGGTGGTTATCTTGAGGTTATCTTGAGATGATTTCGGGGCTTTAGTGTCCCCGCGGCCCGGTCCTCGACCAGGCCTCCACCCCCAGGAAGCAGCCCGTGACAGCTGACTAACACCCAGGTACCTATTTTACTTCTAGGTAACAGGGGCATAGGGTGAAAGAAACTCTGCCCATGGTTTCTCGCCGGCGCCTGGGATCGAACCCAGGACCACAGGATCACAAGTCCAGCGTGCTGTCCGCTCGGCTGACCGGCTCCCCAGGTGGGTGGGATGGGGTTGAACACCACAAACTTTACCACAATTGTTAGGTGATAATGGAATAGCAACAGCATATTACAATTGTCTGGAATGTACTGTACAGAGATGTATGCACTTTCCAATCTAAATATACCATGTGAATAAAAGATAAAAATAAAATATTAAAAAATTAAACATTGAAACAATCTTTCCTAGTCCCTTCCTTCCCTCCTCCCCTCCATCCCCCAGTGGTTTCCCTTACATAGCTCTGGTACCACCGAGCCTTAGACCAACACACCAGGCCTCCGAGACCCTTCTGTGACACACTGGACACCAGCACCTGAACTTGGCTCACTCTATGAGGTGAGTGCAGCACTGGATCAGAAATCACTCACAAATTAAAGATAACCCATTGTAAAGTATAATCACAGTTAAACAACTGACTGCTTGGAAGAAATCAGGCACCTCAAGGTAAATAAGGCAAATGATAATTGTCAAGGGAGTAGATACTGTGATGTGCTCAGCCAGCCTGCCCCCCCCCCACCTCTCTTACTGGATTACAGTTATAAAAGGTTCCCAATGCCATTAAAAATTCTGAGAATTAAAGTTCTCATTCAATATACATAAATGGTTAGGTTTTAATGAAAAGTAACCCAATAAAATACACTTTAATGCATTTTTGATAGGGATCATCTCAGATAATGGTATGGTGACCCACAACCCTGATGAATATATAATGTCATCTCTAACAAAGCAACATACTAAAATGCCACTCAATGACTCACTTGAAAATTCTTCACGTAACTCCATTTCTTGCCACAGTTCTCGGCCTCCAACACGTTCATAGTCTCGCATACGATCTATATACCTCACGATTCTCAGATCCTCTTGAATTGTGTATGGCTCCTTGTTTCTGTGGAAATCAGATTAATCAGTTAAGTTTGCTACTAATTTTAAATTATAAAACAATGGGTATGAAACAATGTCTAGTACTGAATGAGAAACTTATTTTTATGCAAAAATCAATCCTGTGTTTTGCGGAATATTTTTGTTCTCTGAACATTGCGTATAGTGTAATTTTGGTTTGCACTCCCCCATTAACCCACACATCCTGCACTCCCCCATTAACCCACACATCCTGCACTCCCCCATTAACCCACACATCCTGCACTCCCCCATTAACCCACACATCCTGCACTCCCCATTAACCCACACATCCTGCACTCCCCATTCTCCCACACATCCTGCACTCCCCATTCTCCCACACATCCTGCACTCCCCATTAACCCACACATCCTGCACTCCCCATTAACCCACACATCCTGCACTCCCCATTAACCCACACATCCTGCACTCCCCATTAACCCACACGTCCTGCACTCCCCCATTAACCCACACATCCTGCACTCCCCATTAACCCACACATCCTGCACTCCCCCATTAACCCACACATCCTGCACTCCCCATTAACACTTTGGCGTACCCCGCGCGCCACCCTTCAACTATGCGATATGGGACCCAGGGTGTAACGGGAGCGTACGTAAATTCTGAAAAGTGTATACTCTCTTCAACTTTGTCACCTTAATTCTCGTCCTACGAGATTAAATTTAGTATCATTGTGTTCGCAATAGAATTCTCTACAGCACTAAATGCATATAAACTCCAAAAGCCCGGCTAATTACCCGCAGCAAACAGAGAAAGTGCGAATGAGTTACCCAAGAGCGCGCAAAGGCGATAAAATATTTTCACTATTTTCACTCTGGTCACCTCAATTTTTGTCCTAGGTCTTTCATTTTGGTCTCAATGGGTTCGCAATAGAATTCTCTAGAGGAACATTAGCATATAAAATAAAAAACCTGGTCACGCTCCAACCGCCGATGAGTTGAAGACGGGCCACGCGTTAGCCGCGAGTGAGCGCTCGGATGCCTTCCAGCTACACTCCCAATTCCCTTCCTTTTCAAGCCTTTCTTTCGCAATTTTCTTCCTGGAAGGGCCTTGTTCATGATCACTATCCATCGTGGAGTAAGCGTAGATAGTTTCTAAAGCCGCAGTAAGAAATATAGCCACGGAAAATAGACGAAATGTTCACACGTTTGAGATGTGAGGGGAGGCGACATTGGTCACAACAGTGGAGCGAAAACAATGGGCCGACGGCGTGTGCCAAACCACCTGAGGGCCACAAGGCTCAACAAAGAAAATGGGAAGACATCGGCGCACATTTTAAAACCAGTCCCAAAAAAATCGGATAAAAACCTGATTTTTGGCGATTATTTAAAGTGGATGACGCAATGCTGCGTCATCCCCGGTATTACCGCCAGTAAACGGATGACGCAATGCTGCGTCATGCCCGGGCGAAAGTGTTAACCCACACATCCTGCACTCCCCCATTAACCCACACATCCTGCACTCCCCATTAACCCACACATCCTGCACTCCCCCATTAACCCACACATCCTGCACTCCCCATTAACCCACACATCCTGCACTCCCCATTAACCCACACATCCTGCACTCCCCATTAACCCACACATCCTGCACTCCCCCATTAACCCACACATCCTGCACTCCCCATTAACCCACACATCCTGCACTCCCCCATTAACCCACACATCCTGCACTCCCCATTAACCCACACATTCTGCACTCCCCCATTAACCCACACATCCTGTACTTCCCATTAACCCACACATCCTGCACTCCCCATTAACCCACATGTCCTACACTCCCCATTAACCCACACATCCTGCACTCCCCATTAACCCACACATCCTGCACTCCCCCATTAACCCACACATCCTGCACTCCCCATTAACCCACACATCCTGCACTCCCCCATTAACCCACACATCCTGCACTCCCCATTAACCCACACATCCTGCACTCCCCCATTAACCCACACAACCTGCACACCCCATTAACCCACACAACCTGCACTCCCCCATTAACCCACACATCCTGCACTCCCCATTAACCCACACATCCTGCACTCCCCCATTAACCCACACATCCTGCACTCCCCATTAACCCACACATCCTGCACTCCCCCATTAACCCACACATCCTGTACTTCCCATTAACCCACACATCCTGCACTCCCCATTAACCCACATGTCCTACACTCCCCATTAACCCACACATCCTGCACTCCCCATTAACCCACACATCCTGCACTTCCCATTAACCCACACATCCAGCACTTCCCATTAACCCACACATCCTGCACTTCCCATTAACCCACACATCCTGCACTCCCCATTAACCCACATGTCCTGCACTCCCCATTAACCCACACATCCTACACTCCCCCATTAACCCACACATCCTGCACTCCCCATTAACCCACATGTCCTGCATTCCCCATTAACCCACGCATCCTGCACTCCCCATTAACCCACACATCCTGCACTCCCCCATTAACCCACACATCCTGCACTCCCCATTAACCCACATGTCCTACACTCCCCATTAACCCACACATCCTGCACTCCCCCATTAACCCACACATCCTGCACTCCCCATTAACCCACATGTCCTGCACTCCCCATTAACCCACATGTCCTACACTCCCCATTAACCCACACATCCTGCACTCCCCATTAACCCACACATCCTGCACTCCCCATTAACCCACATGTTTTACACTCCCCATTAACCCACATGTCCTACACTCCCCATTAACCCACATGTCCTGCACTCCCCATTAACCCACATGTCCTGCACTCCCCATTAACCCACATGTCCTACACTCCCCATTAACCCACATGTCCTACACTCCCCATTAACCCACATCCTGCACTCCCCCATTAACCCACATGGCCTGCACTTCCCATTAACCCACATCCTGCACTCCCCCCATTAACCCACATGTCCTGCACTCCCCATTAACCCACATGTCCTGCACTCCCCATTAACCCACATGTCCTGCACTCCCCATTAACCCACATGTCCTACACTCCCCATTAACCCACATGTCCTACACTCCCCATTAACCCACATGTCCTACACTCCCCATTAACCCACATGTCCTACACTCCCCATTAACCCACATGTCCTACACTCCCCATTAACCCACATGTCCTACACTCCCCATTAACCCACATCCTGTACTCCCCATTAACCCACATGTCCTACACTCCCCATTAACCCACATGTCCTGCACTCCCCATTAACCCACATCCTGCACTCCCCCCATTAACCCACATGTCCTGCACTCCCCCATTAACCCACATGTCCTGCACTCCCCCATTAACCCACATGTCCATGTCCTACACTCCCCATTAACCCACATGTCCTACACTCCCCATTAACCCACATGTCCTGCACTCCCCCATTAACCCACATGTCCATGTCCTACACTCCCCATTAACCCACATGTCCTACACTCCCCATTAACCCACATGTCCTGCACTCCCCCATTAACCCACATGTCCATGTCCTACACTCCCCATTAACCCACATGTCCTACACTTCCCATTCTCACCACAACATATGCCACCTTCGTACTTTCTACTCTTGAAATATAACTTTATTAACACAATGTCCTTCCTTCATTTATCTAACAATAATTGACTTAAACATGAACTTATTTAGTTAAATACTAACTCTTTAACTTACTTTGAATGTTTAACTGCACACAGGTATGACGTGGATTTTCTTTGCCTTGTTGCACCAAATACGCAGCCATCTTTGAGATTGAAAGTCCGGTCATATCGTCTAGAGTAGCTGTCTATACTTGAAGCTGGGTCACTTGGTGTCGAAGAGCTCATACAGTCATATACGTCTATTTTTGGTGATTTTCCGTATTCATCCTTAGAGCAATGTGGCTTTTGTTTAAAAGACGTTTGACTTCGAAGGCTGATTGCTTCCTGAAATATTAATGTGAAACTTGCATTTTCTGCTTAAATAACTAGATTTGTTTAATCATACCCAATCATTCATGATGCTTTAAAGAGAACTCTTTTTTCCCCACCAGGAGGTGACCTGTTATGAGCAATTAAGATATGAGAGCTGTTTGCCTTAACAGATGATGAAAGTACTACAACACAAGCCACAGTGATGGCTCTAATTCCCACCACCACAATGCTCTCTCAGTAAATATAGCATTCCCATTCTTTGTCCAGTTTTCTTACCCTTATGCTATTTTATCTCTACAAATGTTTTCCATCTATTTTAATATGATTGCCCACAACAACTTAAAACTCTTTCAGGCACTTTTCCTTTTCAGTACTAAAAAGTGACAACAATTGAATTTCTTCATTAACTAAAATTTTCTGTAAAAACTAAGTTATATAAGCAATTTGATATACAGTGGTACCTCGCATAACGATTGCCCCAAAAGACGAATATTTTGGGTAACGAACGACCCGATCGGCATCAAATCGTCCCGTATGACGAACGCTGGTTTGAGTAACGTCAACACCACATGGTGGGGTCGCGCTGTTTCTTGCACATTCTTAGACGCCTCCGACGATGCACATAAATTATGTTGTTCTTGTTTAAAGATGCTAATGATGCTGGGATATAAAAGGGTGACTGCTGAGATGTTGCAAAGCATTGACGTTTTTGTAGGAAAAAAGAAATGAAATGTCTGATATATAACAAATGTCAAAAAGGTTCGTTCGGTGTTCGGCAGGTAGGCTGCTCCATTATAACAATCTTTCTTTGTTTCAAATGTGTTCCATTTGTTTTTTATTTGTCATTTACGTCTCAATAATGGAGCAGCCTACCTTACATACACTGAGTAAACCATTATGACATTTTCCTTTCTTCAAATGTGTTCAATATTTATTTTTCATTTGTCTTATAGCAAAAGGTTCGTTCGGTGGTCGGCAGGTCGGCTGCTCCATGTTTCTTAAAAAAAAAAAAAAAAAAAAAAAAAAACGAAAAATAAAAGAACTGTTGAAACAATTTGAAAAAATGGACAAATGTTATAAAGGTTCGTTCAGTGTTTGTCGGGTAGGCTGCTCCATTATTGAGACGTAAGTGACAAATACAAAACAAATGGAACACATTTGAAACAAAGAAAGATTGTCATAATGGAGCAGCCTACCCAACAAACACTGAACGAACCTTTTGCTATAACGAATATGAAAGACAAGGGCTGCTGGCTGAGTTAGTAGTGCGTGAGCAACCATTTGTGGCACACGTGCCTCTGGCTCTCAAACACCTGTCCCACACGGTGTAGAAAGACTGTGCTCAGTCGGTGCAATTCAGACCCTATTGTTTGAAGAACATAAGGGTCATAACATTGGTGAAGCTAGGCGCAATAAGGGCTTAACACAACGATCGGATGCCAGTGATACAGCACCTATGAGGATGATACAGCGAGCGTATCCAGGTGTAGCTCTGAGCCCCACCCTTGCCATCTCTAATGTATATAGATGATACATAGATGAATCATTTTCTGCGTTCAGTGATGATGCATCTGATACAAGTAGCATAGATGAACAGTGTTAGCGGCTTCCATGGTGGTGGTCATTGATATTTTCAAGAATACCTGAATCTCTTCCTGACTGATGGACACGCTTTGAGGCTAGCTGAATCTCTTCCCGTGTGGGACCTTACAAAGCGATCTTTTCAAGACTACCTTACAAATTGAGCTTTTCCTATAATCGTTTCAATACTACTTTATGCTTTACAAGCTTGGCTACATACCACCTACAAGTACTAAAGCCAAGGGTGCACGCGAGTGCGTTATTTGCAAGCACACAGAACGATGAAACAGGAAACGAAAATCTATCTGTAGCTGGTGCAAGGAGAGCAAAGTCGCGCTGTGTACCATGGACTACTTCGTTGACTATTACGCACCTCCAAAGTACTGAGTGTGTAATACAGTGTGTTACTGTGTAAATAGTATGTGAAACTGTACATATTGTAATTTTAGTGAATTTTTACCACGTAATATTGTGACAATAAACATTTAATGTGGACACATTACTGACACATGTATCACAGTTTCATGGAAAATTATGAACATTCTACTGTATACATATTGTAAAGGTCACAAATATGCATCATATACGATAAAAGAAACAAATAAAACCGCATTGGAAATGCATAGAAAAAATATTTGAAAATATATTTGTGGCAACACGCGGTGCTTGAATGGCCCGCGCGACCGTGTCTGGAAGCTTCACACACGGGCGACCAGCCCCTGATGACGTCACAGCACACCTTGTCCACGCCCTCACAGCCAAATTAAGTGGAATTTGGTAATTATTTTTACATAGACATGTTCAGGGACGGTAATTTATCATTTTGCAAAGAAAAATTATATTTTGGGGAACATTTGATGTCATGCACACTGGGGAAATTTCACAATAAACACAGTGCATCACACTGGTTATATGGGGGACACTCGTTTTGTATGACGTCCGTTTCACATGACGAACATGGAACGGATTAAATTCGTTATGCGATACTTTAAATCAATAATTATATATGAACAAATAAAGAGACTTACCTTGTGTGAGTCACGAGGCATTTGATAATGCTTCCTAGTCATGGTCTGGACTGACCTGTGGATCAGTACTTCACTCTCAGCTGACTCACTCTGTTCGCTAACACTACCACGCTTCTTAGTCAAGTCCATTTTATCCGTTTTCTCATCATCCAAGCCAAAGAGTTCGGTAGACACATCACTGTCTTTTGAAGAATTATCATCATGTTTTTCTGTGAGTTCCTCTAAAGCTGAATAACTGACATTACTGAGAGAGTTTTTAGCTGATGAAGGCACTATAGCTGTGGAGTCGTCACTGTCGCTGCACATTTCATCATGTTCACTTTCTGCAATACCCGTAGCCAAAACTTCTTGACATGAAGATTTCAAGGTAGGCTCGAGACTAACAACTTTTGCACAGGGAGCAATGACAAGTTCTTCAGACGTAATGTTAATATCTGTATTACCATTAAGAGGAGGATCATTGAATAAACTTTGAATCTCTTGAATATCATCTGCAGTTATATTTTTGGAGCATACAAAATCAGATTGCATTTCAGTTTCCTGAGTGTCATGGTAATTATGGGTATTTTGGTTCATCTCCGCAATTGCTGCCATGGATACAGACACCATAGGTTTCTTGTGAGTGCTACTTGATACTTCAATATTCCTCCTAACAGAGTTTCTTTCAATTAGTTCTTTATCCATTCCATTAGTAATGCAAGCATTTTTCTGTGAAGTCTGGATACTGGAGCTGTCTTCACTGGCAGGTACTGCACCAAGAGATGTATTTGGGTTCTCAGCTTGTAATAAATTCCTGATGTGGTTATCTTTAGTTCCAGAACTGCTTTGAAAATCTTGTGATGGCTCAAAATAAAACCCTTGCGTAGTGTCAATAGATTTCCTTTTCTGAACAAATGACAATGTGTGTTCTTCTCTGCTGTGAGATTCTTCCACATTATCATTTATACTCGTATTACACTTTATCATTTTGTCATCTTTTCTTCCTTGTACACCTTTTCTACGCACATCTCTCTGATTGTCTTCTGCTTGGATTAGCTTCCCTTTGCAAGAGTGCTCACTATGCAGCTCTGATTCTTCCTCAGTCAGCTGTTCAGCTGAACTATCCCTGCTTGTTCTGACAATTGGGTTAATCTTGTCAGTATGACTGCTTACAAGCTCATTTTCTTTTCCTCTTTGTTTGTTAATCAGCCCAATGGTTTCCGGATCTACTCGTTTCCTTTCAATGAGCAATTGCTTGCTTAGCCCACTAGGACCCGCCGTGTGTCTGTTTCGCCATTCATAGTCCAATGATTCCTTTTCAATAACCTGAGATTCTTTTGTAGCCTGATCCTTAATTTCTACTTGCTTTTCAGAGTCCACAACTTTGCGTATGTCTTCATTCTCATTAGAAATATCAAATATATCTTCACTGCTGTTTAGTCGGGTTTCAGTTTGTTCAATTGTGTCTGCACACTTTTGTCGAGTTCTTGGTTCTTCTGTATCGGTACTCTCGTCACTTGTCGTTTCATCCTCCACACGAGATGAATGTTGTACATTTTTACTTGAGAACCTAAAAAGAAAATAAAGCACTGAATGTATTCAAATGTTCCGTGATGGCTTTTCAGTAGCTGCCCTGAATTTAGACACTAATGTCCTACAGCCTCCCAACACATACCAGGGCCCCTGAAATATATAAAGACCACACAGGACCATTCGTCAGTGTGGGTGGAGGTGCTAGTACTGTAGTTGATGTCAGTAGAGGGCTGTTGTAATGGATTAGGTGCAATGAATCAAGATTGTGGCCAATTTTATCAAGCTTCAGCCCAGTCTCCATTATCTCAACATCTCCAACATCCATTAATATCTGTTCTCAAAGCCCTTACTGCACTTCATTTAGTGCTCTGTATTTTTTAATTCATATTAATAAATTGCATTTTTAATAATTATTTGTATGATGAAACAACCTGCATGAGTTTATTTAGTGAAAAATAGATGTAGAAAGGTATTGTTTATTCATACTGTATTACTATCCAATTTATAAAAATGATTTGCAGGGAGACTTAAAAATTACATATGTTAAGTTCAGTGGAGTTATGTTTAATTAACAAATCACAAATGTAAGTGCAGAGTAATGGAATAGACAATCAAGACAGCTCAAGACACCCAACGAGGAAGGGACCACACCAAACCCAATGAAGGCTCAAAAATGAGACAAAAAGTGCAAGCATTCTTGGTCCAAGCACTCCAGAAAGCAACCAGACATTCCCAATGTGCTGTCATTGCGCACTAACATGAAAGATCTGATGGGAGACACCACGTCGGCCACCAAACCTAAACAATAGTGTGACCGCTGTGGGATCTAAAACAAGGGTAAGATGGTGGATCTGTACACACAGGTATAGCAGATATGCCACAATTCCTACCTTGGTCAAGAGTCCAAGACAAATGGTACCAGAGATGACCAAAACACAGGCAGCATGAAAGATGAATGAAACCACAAACAAGAAAGAATATATACACTATAACACAAACCAAGCTCAAACCAAGAAATGAAGCTAAGCACCAACACAAACACACTGATTTTTCATCTGATTTCATGAAAATCCAGCTTATTTTTCAGATATCCCTGTGTACAGGAATCGTAGCAGATGTGTGGAAAAAGGCTAACACAGTTCCAATCTACAAAAGTGGCAGCAGGGAAGACCTCCCTCAATTATAGACCTGTATCATTGACAAGTGTAATAGTCAAAATATTGGAAAAAATAATAAAAACTAAATGGGTAGAACACCTGGAGAGAAATGATATATCAGACACAGTATGGTTTTTGATCTGGAAGATCCTGTGTATTGAATTTACTCAGTTTCTATGATCGAGCCACAGAGATTTTACAGGAAAGAGATGGTTGGGTTGACTGCATCTATCGGGATCTAAAAAAAGCTTTCAACAGAGTTCCACATAAGAGGTTGTTCTGGAAACTGGAAAATATTGGAGGGGTGACGGGTAAGCTTCTAACATGGATGAAAAATTTTCTGATAGAAAAATGAGGGCAGTAATCAGAGGCAATGTATAGGACTGGAGAAATGTCACAAGTGGAGTACAGTACCACTTGCATCGGTGATGTTCATTGTCTACATAAATGATCTACCAGATGGAATACAGAATTATATGAACATGTTTGCTCATGATGCTAAGATAATAGGCAGGATAAGAAACTTATATGATTGTCATGCCCTTCAAGAAGACCTGGACAAAATAAGTATATGGAGCAACACTTGGCAAATGGAATTTAATTTGAATAAATGCCATGTTATGGAATGTGAAATAGAAGAACATAGACCCCAAACAACCTATAAATTATGTGAGAAATCTTTAAAGAATTCTGATAAAGAAAGAGATCTAGGGGGGGTTCTAGACAGAAAACTATCACCTGAGAACCACATAAAGAACGTCGGGCAAGGAGCCAATGCTTCGCTTTCTAATTTCAGAATTACTTTTAAATACATGGATGGTGAAATACTAAAGAAATTGTTCACGACTGTTGTTAGGCCAAAGCTAGAATATGCAGCAGTTGTGTGTTGCCCATATCTTAAGAAGCACATCAACAAACTGGAAAAGGTGCAAAGACACTCTACTAAGTGGCTCCCAGAACTGAGGGGCAAGAGCTATGAGGAGAGGTTAGAGGCATTAAATATGCCAAAACTAAAAGACAGAAGAAAAAAGAGGTGATATGATCACTATGTATAACATAGTACAGTAATGGGAATTGATAAAATTTTAATGAAGATTTCCTGAGACCTGGAACTTCAAGAACAAGAGGTCATACATTTAAACTAACTAAACAAAGATGCCGAAGAAATATAAGAAAATTCACTTTTGCAAATAGAGTGGTAGACAGTTGGAACAAGTTAGACGAGAAGGTGGTGGAGGCCAAAACTGTCAGTAGTTTCAAAGCGTTATATGACAAAGAGTGCTGGGAAGACGGGACACCACGAGCATAGCTCTCATCCTGTAACTACACTTAAGTAATTACACAAGTCAGAATGTGTGGGGTAAAACTCACATTAGCATACAGCTACCTACTTTAAATCTCCATCAACAGGCATTAAATTGGCAACAAAATCCAAACCTTTACCATGAAATGAGACTGATTTTAAAAGAGTCGACTTACAAACATGGAATTTAACCCCCATCAAAGAATATAATTCTAGTGGGATAAAGAAAATACAATATGTCTTCCTTGAAAGATACTTCTCAATCACAGTCATGAAGCAAAATAATGACCAGGAAATTGTCGTGTAGGTAGCAGCAATCAATCACAAACAAAATAATAACCAGGAACTCGAACACAATCATGAAGGAAATTTTTTGTTGTAAATAAACCACAGCATCACATGGGACAAAAAAACTTACACCTCTTACATGAGCACAGAAGGTTACCAGTCCTGACCGAGAAGGCACAGGCTGGTTGGACCAGGCATGTTAGTGGACAGCAGACTGACACCCCCAGGTGACCTGGGCCGCCATCTGGTAGCAGGCCACATGTGTTGTGGCAAGTTGTTGTTGTTCACCTCTTCCCAACTCTCAATTGCCTTCTTTCTTAATTTCATCTCTTCCATAATTTTAGAGCACTGGTTCATTTAATTTCAGTTTTGACTTTTGTAGGCAATTTTTAAGCTGTGAGTCAATCTGTGATTCTTCATGCTCTTCTCATTTCTTTGAGATGGCCAGATTCTGATCTTGGCTCCAAGTAGATCTGATAAACTCTGAGGCTTGTACAGGTTGAGATTAGGAATGAAAGGGTCATTCACCAGGAAATATATATTTTAAGTATTTAGTATTTAGTTCCACACCAGGATGTAGGTTTATATTATATAAGTGTGCTTGCAACAAGACCTAAATATTTAAACATTCTGCTTCCATAATGACCATGTGCTATGTTCGTGGGGCCCATCATGCCCATGCGGCAAGACGGCTCTACTAATTTTCAAGTTCAAGGAAGCTACTGAGAGGACCAACCCAGAAATATACAATATATCACACACTATACATGAAAATTAAGATATACAAGTCACAGGTAAAACCAATAAGCAAACTAAAACAAGCATATACATTTAAAGTACAGCACAAGGAACAAATAAGAATACAAGAAATGCATTATATAACAGCTCATATGCAAATTTGAGACGTAGTTGAGGTCAGTTCCAGGAAAGGATGCCACATGAGACCAACATTACTGACAACTTGATAACAGATTATCATTACAGAATCACGGTTACACCAACGTTAATTCAACACATCTTCTGAATAAATATTGTGCAGCTGAACCTCATTTACTGTATATTACCTGAAAGAGCCCTTTAGGACTTGCCTGCCCTGCTCTATGCTCACCATAATTTCTTTTAGCTTTTCTTGTTTCTATTTTAACTCTTCTTGCTAGTTTAGTAAATTGTTGTTCTAAATAAGCTTTTGAATTCTTAATTTGTTTCACTGTAATGTACATAGTTTTCTGTTTCTCATAAGGTTTTCATTCCCATGTTTATCCATATTGGGTCAGTATCATTTGACCTAATTGCTTTACTGCATACACTATACTATACTATTCCTGGGCTTCAATTCAAGTTTTTAAACAGGTTATAATTTCCATTTTATATAATCCTATGTCAAGAGACCGACTGCTGAAGTCACATCACATACCAAAGGCACCCCCACCTCCCTGGTTCAGCTTTGTCCAACTTACTCTCCCTAACAAAATCCTTAATCCCTCAAAATCTGCATTACAGAAATTTGGCACCCGGTAGCCTTAAAGATTTCCCTGTGATCACTGTTCCGTAATGAACTCCCAATTTCTATGTCATTTGTCAGCATTTACCTGTTGCCCAGCACTGAGTCTCAAGTATTATTTTTCAGTGTTGGCTCCTTAACTTGTGTTTACCTTTTGTTGGATCTGGGGATCAATGTCCCCTCCTGGTTGGCAGTTAGGTCAATCAGGCTGTTAGATGCAGCTGTTCGTACGATAACACATGAATCTTCCTGCTTCTTTCTGCAGGGAGCCGGTCGGCCGAGCGGACAGCATGCTGGACTTGTGATCCTGTGGTCCCAGGTTTGATCCCGGGCACCGGCGAGAAACAATGGGCAGAGTTTCTTTCACCCTATGCCCCTGTTACCTAGCAGTAAAATAGGTACCTGGGTGTTAGTCAGCTGTCACAGGCTGCTTCCTGGGGGTGGAGGCCTGGTCGAGGACCGGGCCGCAAGGACACTAAAGTCCCGAAATCATCTGAAGATAACCTCAAGATAACCTTCCCTACAGTATTTTATTATTCCGGTATTATAAAATAATTATTATTTAAATTTAATTCACCTATAATGCAAACATTGTTAGACATTTCTTAACACTTTCGCGCTTTAGATTAGAGATAACTCGTCGCCGTTTTCTCTTACGATTCCGCATAACAGCCTACTTTTCTCGTCCATCGAAAAAATATTTCTATAAATTCCATTTTTTAACCGAAATGGATGGGGATACTTTTGTTTTGTAGAGAATTTATTTGCGAATGTTTTGGTACCAGAATGAATATTATATCACATAAACTTCTATGAGTAAAAAAAAAAAATACACAAAGTATGTTTGGGGGTGTGGCGAGCGTGTGGCAGTGGGTTCCCTTTAGCCGTTGATATATCCAACACGTGGGAAATATTTGTATGTGTTATGTATATGTCTGTGTAGGGAATTTTACTGCGATCACTGTCATACAAATTATAAAATGTTTCAACAAGTATAAACATGACAAACATCAAACGAACGAAAACAATGCGTTCGTTTCTGCCGCGAACGCATACTGAGCGACGTGGTTCTATATTTGGCGCTTCTCTTACACATGCTTTGTACAAATGTTATACAGTTCATCTTATAGAAAATTTTATTGCGAACACATTGGTATAAAAAAGAAATACGTACATAGAAAAGTAGGGTCAGGAAACGTATAAACTTTCCAAGCATGATTTCCCCCCTGTGTTTTCGCCAGTGCGCTCGCGGCTAACTACTCTCCACTTCACACACTCTTGCGGGTGGGCAATTACCTATATTAAACATTCATATGCATATGTCCGTGTAGAGAATTTTATTGCGATTCCAATGATACCAAAATTAGCGATGTAGGACAACTGTAGGCTTCGCAACCATTAAGAGAGTGGAAACATTTTGTTGCTGTTTGGCGCTCTCGGCGAGTGATCTGCATAATTTTTTATTTGGTGTTGATACTCCTTATGCTTGGGCGGCATTTTATAGGTATGCTCTTATAGACAATTTCATTGCGAACACAGTGATACCAAATTTAAATACGTGCGCCTTCAATTATTGTCAGGACAGTCAAAAGAGTGTACACTTTTCGGTCTTACCGCGTAGGCGCGCGAAGTGCCGAAAGCATCTGGGGTATTGTTTTTTTTTGAGCGCCGAGAGCGCGAAAGTGTTAAGAGATTTATTCCCAGATATGCTTTCTTTCAATTCTGTCGAGGTTTGGTGTCCCGTGTATAACACATTCACTTTCAGTGGTTTTCTCTCAAACATAATGAAAACCTGTAAACAAACAACAAGTATCTTTAGACTAAATTTTCTGCTGTAAAAACTGCATCAGCTGCATACCTTAAATGAGTTATACTGTACTGTACAAGGTTAATTCCTATCACTTGATAGTCACATTTTTCTAGTACCCTCACATGAACATCCATGACACCATAATGAGACACCAAGAAAATATCACACACAGCAACGGCACATTCTCCTGTTAGTGTTAACCCAGTGACTCACCACACCCTCTCCGTTACCGCAATAAAAACTTACTTACCGACGATATAATCGAGTTTTCACCTTGACGGGTAATTTAAATAGATTTAAATTATGGATGATTTTTTTTATAAAGTGTTCCTTCATAGATTGATGCGATCGTCCTGGGCACACCTGAAACACATGTTCACATTGTGAGTATGCATGTATGTACATATACTGTACATTTACTACTGTATATGAATTGATTAAATTAGAGACAAAAATCTAGCTCACATTCTTTGTATGTCTATATGGGCTTAATAGAGTATACATAAATTAAACTTCCATATGATTCATGTCTGCTTTTTAGTTTGTGGATGCAAGTGTTGCTTGTTATTTTAAGCAATCAAATAATTGAATTGTGTTGAATGCATGGCAACATTATATTTATGACACACACACACAGTACTGGGAAAGTTGCACATGTTACAGGTGTTACACATTATATGAGCTACACCTGAGACAGGGAGCATTACATATTGCAGAGGCTACATGCTAGGCAGGTTATACAAGTGTTTCCCACATTTCTTATGCATTCTTTCTCTCGGCTTTCTTTCCTTCCTTCCTGTATGAGCTGGCTCAGGAAGCACCTGTGGGGAGGATGGGTGGAGCTAACTCACAAGTAGGGCATTGATAATACAGTTTGACTTCTTTTGTGTATCCTGTAGCACAGTGGATTACATCTTAAATTCACAACCAAGGGACCCAGGATCAATCACCGAGAGGGACAGGAACTGTTGGGCACGTTTCCTTTCACCTGATGTTATCTGTGCACCGAGCAGTAAATAGATACTTGGGAGTTAGGCAACTGCTGTGGTGTGCATCCTGGGAAAGGTCAATACCTGGCCTAGTGGGAATCAATAAACTGAAATAAAGGCTTCCTATTCCTGACAACAAGAATTATCAAAATGCTATAGGTACATGCTAGACAACATCCATATATAAACTCTGGCTGGAAATGGGGCTTTCAAAATTAGTTCATCCCAAATAATGTTAACAGATTATATTGACAACATGAATATTTATCTTAGTTAGGTTCATTTTACTTAGCTTTTTACAGTATGATTTTGTTTTCAGTGAACCCCGAACACATTGCTGATCAATGATCAAAGTCATTTTTTTATGAATGCACCACCACCATGGAACCATATGTCAGAGGTTAACCCCACTCGACTTTGAAGTACTGTAGCCATAAACAGCGTGCCAATGCACTCTGCACCAGGCCAAGATTCCTGGAATTCTATATTAATCAACAATTTAAAAAACAAGTGTTGAATGTAATGAAATGCCATTTTCTGGGGGACACCCGGAGGCTCACCGGAACTAACTAGGCTCATATGAATGAAGTTCTAGGGCTACCAGGGACCACGAGCCAGAACCTGGCCCTCTCAGTGAGACCCGAGGAGCAATGGCCTATAAAATTGCACATATGGTTATGGAGCAATCTATTTCTGCCATCGACAGTGTCAGACACCCAGAAAGGTAAGTGTCCCAAAACAAATCCCCTGTTCTGGTTGCAACTACTACTGAAAGTCAAACAAGTGGACATAACTCCCCAAATGAAAACTAGTATGACGTCACGACGTCGCCGCGCCGCTTGTCTGCACAACTCCCCACTCCCCGGGAGAGGGAAGGGAGAGCCTCAGACCTCCGCACAGGCAATTCACCCTGCAGTTCAGAGGCTGGATATTAAAACACGCAAAAAAACGCCGATTGGAGGTAGGGAGGGAGGGAGGGAGGGAGGGAGGGTTGCCGGGGAGCCTCCGGGTCTCACCCAGAAAATGGCATTTCATTACGTTCAATGCCGGTTTTCTGGGGGTGAGCCCCCCTACAACTTCCCAGAGCTACTTCATCAAAGATAACGAAAAGAGGGATGCACTCGGGAGGCGTTCGCCATGGGAAACTCAAATAAAAAATTAGACAACTAACGGCACCGAAGGATCCAGCTAACGATCCAGGAAACCCGAACCCAGGAACAGGAAAGAAGAGAAACCGGAGCAACCCAAAGCGCGTCCCAGGACACAGAAGCCGAGACGCACTAATAGAGGCAGAGAGCCGCAACCGGACACAACACATGGTGCACCCCCGGCCGAACCAACCAAGCATTAACACCACAAGGACCCTTCCTGAAAACAGCAGATTCATACCACCCCAGAAAAGAAAACACCACCGCATCAGAAACCAAAGTAAACCCCATGAAGGGACAAGAAAAACCAGAATGACCACCAGGAAACCTCCTACAGATGCCGAGACGAAGCACACAGGTGGGACACCATCAAAGAAGCCACCTGATCACCATACAAATGGTGATAGACTCGAGTAAAGAACACCAGACGCGAAGACTTGAGAAAATCAAACCAGTCATGCAACGGACTGGACCAATCAGCCAAAAGAGGAGGGACCGCAGGAAAACCCCTGGGTTCAGACAGCTGACGTAAGGCCCCCAGAGGCTGAACCCAGCGATCGCGAGTGAGGCAGAAGGAACAGCAACAAAGGAACCAGAACAGCCGACGAAGTCAAACCCGACCTGGCATGAAGACCATCACAGCATAGTTCAGGCTCCCACACAAACTCCCGAATAACCTCTGAGTGACACGGAAGCTCCTAGAAACAGGCGAAGGAAAGACTGCAGCCGAAGCAAACACACCGGAGGGAGAGACAAGGAAGCAGTCCAAGAGTCCCACACAAGACCCAACCAAGTCCGATCCTGAGAGGGAACCAGATGGGACCTCTGCCAGGTCATCAGGAAACTGAACCTGACAAGCTGGGAAAGAACCAAGTCCCTGGCGAGCAGATGCTCGGACTGGATGGGAGCCCACACCAACCAATCGTCGAGGTAGTCCAGCACCCAAACACCTAAACAGACGTAGATGGGCCACCGCGACCCGGGTAAGGAGCATGAAAACGAGAGGTGCCAGATGAAAACCGAATGGAAGGCAACGAAAGTGGTAACAAAGCCGACCCACAACAAAAACAAGCCAGTCTCTGAAAAATTGGGATGTGCAATACGTGTCTTGGAGGCCCTGGGACACCATCCAAACGACCAGCTCCAAAAGAAACTGGACCTGGGACAGAGTAGTTACCTGAAAGGAGGGGCAATAGACCCAGGGGTTCAACGGGACAAGTCCAGAATGAACCTTAGGTCCGCACAGTCCCGTTTTGGGACTGGGAACATGCAGGAAAACCCACCTGAGGAACGTCATCGTTTTGACCACGCCCAAGCGAACCCACTCCAAGATGACTTGACAGAGCACAGGAGAAGAGGCCTGCCCCACCAACCCTGATGGAAGAGCAGCCATCCAACGCCACTGCAGGCCATCCGAAACGACCCGAAAAGCCCACAAATCGTGAGACCAGGCATAAGCGAACAGCGCGAGCCTTTCCCCCCACTTCTCCCCGTCAACGGGGCGAACTGCAAAAAGGCCGACGTCCCTTACGAGAACACGACTGACATGCAGAGCGATCACTGCGCCAACCAGATGAAGACGGGTCTGAAGGCAACCCCCAAAACTGGCACCGCTGGCCTATCACGATGAGGGGGAACCCCGAGCCCTGACATGACCCCTCCGAGAAGAACTTTCCCCCCACGGCCTTCCCTGGTGAACCAACAAGTTCGACATCAGACGGCAACTAGAAGCTGCCCACAGAATCTGCAAACAGCAAGGAACAAAAAGGCGACAAAAACCTAAGAGTCAGGGCCCAAGCAGATTCCAAAGAGGAAGCGAGCACCACCTGCCAACATGCAAAGCGAAAACACACACACACTGCATCCTGGAGGATCGACGCAAACATGCCCCAACAGAGCAGACGATGCACACGCCGCTGAGACCAATCCCAGGAAAGGCACCAAGCCCACATCCTCTGCAAGCCAATCCTACAGCTCCAGGAGGCAAAAGAACAATAAGACCAAAGCCAACAGCCTACAAGCATGCAAGTCTGCAGCAACCAGTGCAGCCGAAAGGGAGGCAACCTACACATGAAGCTGCACCACACCAACATCCTGAGGAAGAACAGGGGTGAACAAACATGCATGGAGGTGCTCAACTCGCCCCCCAGGTAAATCTGATCCACTGATAGCGCCTCACACCACTCAAGCGTGCGGGAACGACAGAAAATACGCCAAGCCTCCAACAAAAACACAGAGCAGTCTGCTAGTCAGAACGACTCTGGAACCTCATAAATCCAGTAGGGAGATGAAGACCCAAACCTGAATGAAGAGGGATTCATGATAGAGGCTTAATCCGGGTTGCACAGGAGGTAAGCCGCAAGGGCTATCAGGGGTAAGCGCCAAGCCCTTATGAGTATATAGCACTTGCAAGGGATCAGGATAAGGATTTGGGATGGGACGGGGGAAGGACCACACCTCATGAGGTGGGGTATGGGAAGCCGAAAACCTCCAGAAGGACTGGATCGATGGACCCGAAGGGACGAGGAACCGAACTTGGAGAGGGACCGACACCAATCCAACTCATACACAGACGGGGGAAAGAAAACCCCACTCCTTGTAACAATTTTCTACCCTGCTCTGAGGGTAGAAAAACCCAAGCGGGGTCCTAAGGGGCCCAAGGCCCTCAAGTCAATCCCTCCCCAGCCCCGGGAACCTCCACATCAGGACCTGGGGCCGAGTCGTCCTCCAAAGCCCCGGCCTCAAAAGAAAAAGCCAGAGCAGCCGGGAAGGAAAGGGGTCCCACTGGTCAGATCCTGACGCCACACCTGCAGAAACAGACTCGAATGCCTCCGTCTCCACCCAGGAAAGGGCATTCCCCGAAACTGCCCGAGTCTCAAAACCAGCTAAACCCTGCTCTGACCCCGAAGGCCTCAGACACTTTGGAGAAGGAAGCAGGGGAAGGGAGAGGGGAAGGGGGGGGACCAGAATGGACCACAGCAGGGAAAGGACAAAGGGGCAAGGACTGAATCTGAGTCGAGGCAACTACCACCCCCAAGTCCGGGTCCCTATGACCAAAATGGGGCAGCCTCGGGGCTTCCGGGACAGCAACCAACCTAGCACATTGCAGCAACCTAAACACCTGAGCTGCCTGCACCCGAAGAGAATCATCAGTGGATTGGGTGAAGTGAGCCACTAACAAGTAACAAAACTCGCAGGTCTCTGGGTCGTAGGTGTCACTGACCCAAAAGGAAGCATGACGGAGGCAAAAAAGAGTCACCCTGAGACAAAGGAACCAAGCAACCCTAAAACTCGCACAAAGCAAGAGGGGACCCAGGGGTCGCATCTATTGGACCTCTGCACCCCCGTAGAGATTCCTAGGGCCCTTAGACTGGTATCGCTTAGAGAAACCCAGGCAGGGTATTGTTAACTGATGCCCAAGTCTACCAAGAGATCCACTAAAAGCTGCACCTAAGGACATGTCCACTCACAGAGACCTAGTGGAAGTACAGTACCACCAATAGACAATGGTAACAACTTAACATAAGGAGCAGACCCCCACCCCCCCAACCAGACAGGAAACAAAAACAAAAGAAAAACCCCACAAGAGGACAATGTACCCAGGCGAAACAGAGCCGGCTGCTATGAGAGCTGGATTGGGGTCCTCGGTAGGCCTAGAACTCCATTCACACTGACTCATGCCAAAGTCTAATATATCCATATCAGCCTGGATAGCTCTGGGGAGCCATAGAGGCTCTCCCCAGAAAAACTGTTAATGACTTTTGTGAGTCTAAAATTGGAATATGCAGCAGTTGCATGGTGCCCAAATCTCAAAAAGCACATAAATAAATTGGAAAAGGTGCAACAGCATGCTACAAAATGGCTTCCGAAACTGAAAAACAAGAGTTACAAGGAGAGACTAGAGGCGTTAAACATGCCAAAACTAGAAGATAGAAGAAAACGAGGAGATGTGATCATTTACAAAATATTTACAGGAATCGAACAGGAATTCCTGAAACAGCAACTTCACGAACAAGACGACACAGATTCAAGCTAAGGAAACAAAGAGGCCAAAAATATATTAGAAAATTTTCTTTTGCAGAGTGGTAGGCAGTTGGAACAAGCTAAGTGAGAAGGTGTTAGAGGCCAAAACCATCAGCAGTTTCAAAGCGTTATACGACAAAGAGTACTGGGAAGACGGGACACCATGAGCGCAGCTCTCATCTTGTAACTACACTTAGATAATAACACACACATACATACATCAAAATAACATAACAAAGTACCAACTTAGGTTAGATATGTTAATGTCTTACCCCTATTTGTTCCATGTGCCTCCATAGTGATATACCTTTAACTTCACCATATTTCTTCTCCTTGACAATGTAGTCGAGAATAGCCTGCTGCTCTTTGAAAGTATAATTACGTTTGCTGTAAAAAGAATTAAAAAAACATTAGCTTCATTCTTTACTTATACACTGGTATGTGAACATATGTATGTATGCAAGTGCATGCATGTATATATTGTATATATTCATCTAGTTGTATTCACCTAGTGGTGTTTGAGCTCTGCTCTCTTGGCCTGCCTCTTAACTCTCAATCAACTTTTTTACACACACACACAATATTCCCAAGAGGCTATTCAGTTTGGAGACGTGACAGGAAAACTAGGAAGGGAGGAGGAGTGGCTGTACTGGTGAAAAAACACCTGAAGGTAAGAGAGTTAATATTTGAAAACCCTCGAGATATTGACATAATGGCATTGCAGATCTGGAATCAGGATGATAAGCTGATAATTTTAAATGCCTGCAGCCCACCAGCAAGCAACACATGGACAAAGGAAGAACTGGATGACAAACGAGAGGGCCTCATAAGTCATGAGAGATATTATTGTACAAGCAGATAAGGATAAATCACGACTGTAGATACTGGGGGACTTCAACTTTAAAGCAATAGACTGGGAGGCCTATCAAGCAAGAACGGAGGACTTTTGGACATGCAGATTTGTGAACCTCATTCTGGAGACATTCTTGTATCAACACATAAAGCAGGCCACAAGAATGAGGGAAGGAGATGTACCATCAGTACTGGATCTTGTATTCACCAGGAAAGAAAAAGAGATATTTGACATCCAGTACCTTCCTTCCTTGGGAAAGAGTGATCACGTCCTGTTAGACATTGATTATGCTTTAAGATATCATCTAGAAGAAAATGGGGACATTGAAACAGTTGATAAACTCAATTTAAGGAGAGGTCACTATGGGGAACTTCAAAATTTTTTTAATGAGTGTAATTGGACAGACTTGTTGCTAGGCAGGGAAGTAAATGAAATGTATGTCAAGTTTTGTGAAATATATGATAAAGGCACACAAACATTCATACCAAAACAGAGATGCAGGGCCAGAAAACAGTATTGGTTCAACAGAAATTGCGAGAGGGCCAGAGACCAAAAGACACAAAAATGGAATCAATACAGGAAGAGGCCAAACCCCCAAACATACCAGCGATACAAAGATGCGAGAAACAACTACAGGGCAGTGAAGAGAGAGACAGAAAGAAATTTTGAAAAAGGGATTCAGACAAATGTAAAACAGAACCAGGTCTATTCTATAAATTCATAAACAACAAATTGCAGGTAAAGGATAATATTCAGAGGATGAAAATGGGAAATAGATTCACGGAAAATGAAAAGGAAATGTGTGAAACATTAAACGAAAAGTTCCAAAGTGTGTTTGTACAAAATGAAATCTTCAGGGGAACCAGACACAATAAGAATTCCAGAGAACAACATAGAGCACATAGAGGTGTCTAGAGACGAAGTGGAAAAAATGCTCAAGGAGCTAAATAAGAACAAAGCAGTTGTCCAGATGGAGTTTCACCATGGGTTCTGAGAGAATGTGCACCTGAGCTCAGCATTCCACTTCAACTGATTTTTCAGGCATCCCTGTTTACGGGAGTTGTAGCTGATGTGTGGAAAAATGCTAACACAGTTCCAATCTACAAAAGTGGAAGCAGGAAAGACCCCCTTAATTATAGACCTGTATCATTGACAAGTGTAATAGTCAAAATATTGGAAAAAATAATTAAAACTAAATGGGTAGAACACCTGGAGAGAAATGATATAATATCAGACAGATAGTATGGTTTTCGATCTGGAAGATCCTGTGTATCGAATTTACTCAGTTTCTATGATCGAGCAACAGAGATATTACATGAAAGAGATGGTTGGGTTGACTGCATCTATCTGGACCTAAAAAAGGTTTTCGACAGAGTTCCACATAAGAGGTTGTTCTGGAAACTGGAAAATATTGGAGAGGTGACAGGTAAGCTTCTAACATGGATGAAAAATTTTCTGACTGATAGAAAAATGAGGGCTGTGATCAGAGGCAATGTATCGGACTGAAGAAATGTCACAAGTGGAGTACCACCGGGTTCAGTTCTTGCACCAGTGATGTTTATTGTCTCCATAAATGATCTGCCAGTTGGTATACAGAATTATATGAACATGCTTGCTGATGATGCTAAGATAATAGGAAGGATAAGAAACTTAGATGATTGTCATGCCCTTCAAGAAGACCTGGACAAAATAAGTATATGGAGCACCACTTGGCAAATGAAATTTAATGTTAATAAATGCCATGTTATGGAATGTGGAATAGGAGAACACAGACCCCACACAACCTATATATTATGTGAGAAATCTTTAAAGAATTCTGATAAAGAAAGAGATCTAGGGGTGGTTCGAGATAGAAAACTATCACCTGAGGACCACATAAAGAATATTGTGCGAGGAACCTATGCCACGCTTTCTAACTTCAGAATTGCTTTTAAATACATGGATGGCGATATACTAAAGAAATTGTTCACGACTTTTGTTAGGCCAAAGCTAGAATATGCAGCGGTTGTGTGGTGCCCATATCTTAAGAAGCACATCAACAAACTGGAAAAGGTGCAAAGACATGCTACTAAGTGGCTCCCAGAACTGAAGGGCAAGAGCTACGAGGAGTGGTTAGAGGCATTAAATATGCCAAAACTAGAAGACAGAAGAAAAAGAGGTGATATGATCACTACATACAAAATAGTAACAGGAATTGATAAAATCGATAGGGAAGATTTCCTGAGACCTGGAACTTTAAGAACAAGAGGTCATAGATTTAAACTAGCTAAACACAGATGCCGAAGAAATATAAGAAAATTCACTTTCGCAAACAGAGTGGTAGACAGTTGGAACTAGTTAGGTGAGAAGGTGGTGGAGGCCAAGACCGTCAGTAGTTTAAAAGCGTTATATGGCAAAGAGTGCTGGGAAGACAGGACACCACGAGCGTAACTCTCATCCTATAACTACACTTAGGTAATTACACTTAGGTAATTACACAAACCCAAAAAACCAGCGTTGAATGTAATGAAACGCCATTTTCTGGGTGAGCCCCGGAGGCTCCCTGGAGCTTATCGGGCTAATGTATGTTATGTTAGACCGGGACATTAGCTAAGGAGTTCAGACCTACCAGGGACCAGCGCCAGAACCTGGCCCCTTCAGAGAGGTTTCAGGGAGCAATGGCCCTGGAAAACCCCATATGGTTGGGGGTTTTCCTTATCTGCCATCGACCGGGGTTAGGCACCCAGAAAGGTAGGCGTAACAAAACAAACCCCACATGGTAAGAAACTACAACAAAAACCGAACAGAGAGGTAGAAAACTCCCTACAATCCCAAGGAAACAAGCAAACAAGCAAACATCACACTTTACTGCCGCGCCGATCGTCCGCGCAGCCCTCCCCACCCCGGGAGGGGGAGGGGGGAGCCCCGGACCTACCGCGCCGGCTGCCAAGCTCCAGTTCGGAAGCTAAGCTTCAACCAACGCGAAAAAACCGCCGACCGGTGGGAGGGAGGGTTTCCAGGGAGCCTCCGGGGCTCACCCAGAAAATGGCGTTTCATTACATTCAACGCTGGTTTTCTGTGGGGAGCCCCTACGGCTCCCTGGAGCTACATACCCAAAGAGAAGGAAAAGAAAGGGCTAACCCGGGAGGCGGCCGCCACAAACTCTGCAACGCAAAGCCAAGACAACCGGTCGCAAACCTGTGACCCAAGGCAACAAGAACGCCCAAGAACAGACGCACATATGGATGGGCGGCCAAAAACCTGTGCGACCCACAATTCCCTGCGCCCGAAATGAGCCCGAGACGTCACCAACACAGCAGCAATTGCTGCAAACGTCTGAACAGCACGGGCGCAAAGACAGACCGCAGGAAGAAGGAAAACACTGCGGACGACCCGGGAGACCCGATCCCTGAAAACAGGGAACGAAGGAACCGGATCAACCACAGCGCATCCCCAGGCACGGTACGCTGGCAACAGCAAAAAGCACAACTGGACAACACAGGACGCACCCCCCGGCCAAACCAAACAAGTACCAATACCCCAAGAACCCCTCCGGAAAGCAGCCGTCTCGACCGTCGCCAGGACAGAGAAAGGCTGCACACCAATAAAGCTACCACCAGTACCAAAGAGGAGGAAACTGAAACCGAAGGGGCTACCACAAACTGAGGGGAAGAGAAGGCACCCTGAACAAGGACCAGGATGGCTCAGGCGACTCATGAGCAGGCCGGAGGGGAAACAAAACGCGAGAAAACGTAATAAACGTCATACAGTCTCCAAGACGAAGCTCGCAGGTGGGACACCGTCAACAAAGCCACCTGAACACCATAGAGATGGCGATACCTGCGTCAAAATACCAGACGCGAAGAGCCAAAGAGAGGGCCGAACCAGTCACGGACAGGACCGAATCGGCCTGCTGAAAGAGGCGAAGCCTCAGGAAAAACGCCCCGGGTACGGACACCTATCAAGCAGCGTCTGAAAAGAAGGCCGGGCCGGCCACCGTGGAACCATAAGGACTGTTCTCGTGGGAATGGGCTGCAACCGAGCCAGAACCCGAAGCAACAGCTGGACCGGGAGAAGAGGTACAGGTAACCCCCCACCTCGACCAGGCCTGCCGAAAGCCTCCACCGGGAAGTCCTCGCAGGTGGGAAGGGCGCCACAAAACGGGCGACGCCTAGACCACGCCGACCCGAAGACGTCCATGGCCAGGAGTCCATAAGCCCAACAGAGCCAACAAAACGAATCGGCGACGACTGGCCAACCCACGAAGAGGAATGAACCGAGACAGCTGTCCACCAGGACGCAGGACACACCCCGGACACGAACCACACGGTTAACCAAACCCCCTGTGGTTCCGGCAAGAACCACCAGAGAACAGTCCAAACAGAGCTGAATGGTAGAGTACCTAGTGACCCAAACCCTCCGAAGCGCAAACCAGACAGCCAGGAACACCTGAACCGGCTGTGAGCCTGAACAGCCAAAGGCGGGACCACAGCCACAGTAACACTTCTGGAGGGAAGACAATGAGGGGCCCAAGAGCCTGAAACAAGGCCCAGGT